AAGTTCCCAGGCGCATCTCCAGCCAGTCAGGAGGACAACCCAGATTCCATCATGAGGCTTAATCACACCCTGCTTCAAGTCTACCCTGCAGCCTCGCTCCCTCCCAGAGCTCAGTGCCTTCAGTCTCTAGTGCCTCTGGACGTTAGAAATGATGCCAAGGCATGCACCACATCACACTGCTAGGACTGGATGTCTATTGTCTGGAAACTGTGAGGCCAGAATGGTTTGGGTTCAGGTTGTTTTCTTCTTCTTGATTTTGACACTTGTGTAGGTATGTAATAAAATACCTTGAGTATGGCCACAAAGCATCTGCGACATGCTAAACATATTCACCTTTGAAAGAATGATGCTGGAAAGCTATAGACTCCTTTTCCATCCTAGTAAAAAGTGTTGTGACTTGTGTAGGAAAGAATTTTATGGAGTCCATTTTACAGATAAGCAAATGGTCCGTGTGTGTGTGTGTGTGTGTGTGTGTGTGTGTGTGTGTGCCACTATCAGGATTTGATCTCAGGGCCTTGTGCTTCCGCTCAGCTTTCTTGCTCTGGGCTGGTGTTCTGCCTCTAGTCTGACATTTTGCTGGTTAATTGACAATACTGCATCACAGAGTTTTCTGCTGCAGGCTGGTTAAAATCATGGTCCTCTAGGTCTTAGCTTCCTTAGCAGTAGGATTAATGTGTGAGCCGCTGACACTGAGTTGCAAATACTCTTAATTATATTACCTTAACTTTTACAGGGATGAAGAAGATGAGCTACGAGAAGCTCTGAGGAAGCTTCCAGAATCCATGGCCATGGAGGACAAAGACAGGCCCCAGAAAGACCTGAAGGATATGAAGATCTTTGGGGGGAGGTTTCCTCAGGTGAAATCAGAGGTTGAGGGGCGCATCAGGAGGCTCCGGGCCCTCGCAGAGGAGGTCAGCAAGGTGCACAAGGACTGCACCATCTCCAGCATTGTGGCCAACTCCACAGCTGTTGCCTCTGGACTCATGACCCTCAGTGGTCTTGCTCTGGCACCTTTCACAGCAGGACTCAGTCTGGGGCTGTCTCTGGGTGGGATAGGGCTGGGAGCAGCAGCTTCGGTGACCAGTGCTGCCACCAGCATTGTGGAAGAAACAAATATATTATCCGTCAGAGATGAAGCCAGCAACCTGGTGTCAGTCAGCCTGGAGACACTGAATGATTATTTAGTGGCTGCGGCTAAGACCGCACCTACAGTTGTATTGGCATCTGATGAGTTTCTCCAGAGCCTGACAAAGCTGGGGAAACACATCTGTGCCTTCAGACAGGCCAGAGCCAACCCTCAGGTACTGCGACAGGCGAGGGGCCTAATGAACACTTGGAGATCTTCGAGAGGCTTTGAGAGTGTG